TTTTTTTTGGTATGTATGTATATGCTTTTTTTTTCTCATTTTATATAATATTTTTCTACAAAGTTGAGTGGCACTACATAGAATTGTATATTTTTTTGTCAACTAAAAACATTCTGATCCACTAATCTATTTTTATCTTCTATTATATAAAATTTGAAGTATCATACCCGTCATATTCTCGTTTGTTTGACAAGCGTCAAAGTCAGCGAAATGTTCAAAAAATGTCGATACAGTCATTCCGTTCAATTGTGATGGTATTAGGTCGTAAAAGAAATGCATTGGGTTGTTTTCAAGGAAAACCGCTCTTTTCACATTTTATTCAAAAATCTATTGAAATTATTTGCAAAGATTACATATATAACCTTTCACTATTGACGACCTTCCTGGCCTTGATTCAAGTTTTCTATTAAATTGCATTCAACCGAAATTTACATTAAAACATTTTTGCTATTAGCACTTAAAAAATTCGTTGAACGCACACTGATCAAAACGTAGGTGGGACAACGAACATGAACATAAAGCATATTTTGCAATTTTAAAATAAAATCTCTTTTAAGGCAATCTCTTTCAAAGCAATCTAAATCAATCTAAAGCAAAAAAATAAATCAATACTAATGGCAATGCTTTTCATGTCATCACTTCCGAATAGTTGTAGTTGGTTACGTTTGAGTTGCTAATGGGGTTTTACCCAAGCAGCAGCTTGAATAGATGAAATCAAAAAGTTCCATACCGCGGAGGCGCAGTTTTTAGTTCACTGATAAGATTTCACATTTCATTGTGCTTGTCGACAACACTATGTGATTCTCATACCTAGAATATCGTCCAGAATATAATGCGCATTAATAGGTAAGAGATGTTGTACAAAATTATTAGCTACCGACCCCGCTGTCAGTCCATAATAGCATTGTATGTATATTCTTCATATGGTTTATTTTTCGTTTTGTTTTTTCAACTTTTGGTAAAAATTCAAAGCGAGGCATTCCAGTGTTCATAGGTTCGAACCTCACTGCGAAGGAGCG